AATGAAGATGGAAAGTGCCGCGAGAAACCCTCTGTCACCCCAAGGTTCACAATCTCTAAACATTAGGAGTTAAGACGACCTACTGAATGTTGATATTCAAACTGAATGTATATGACAAAATCAGGGAGTGATGACCAAGACACCTAAATGTGACACAAATTACTATCAATTAAAGGTGCTCAACTTAAAAGCAAGCCGACCAAACTGGCTTCCATTTTGTGGAAAATTGCCCACTGCTGCCTCCCCACTAAGTGGCACTAACACCTGACTCATCGACCATACACAGTTAGAACAGAGAGGGCAGACACGCCTGTGGGGCCCGACCTGCTTTAAGGGCTTCTCCTTATAAAAGGTCAATGAGACAATGAAACATGTATTTCTCCAATGCCCAACTACAATCCTTACTTGGTTATGAACGATAATTTGGAATGAGCTAGGAAAGCGCCCGAAACAATCCACCCTCTGATATGGATGGAGGACCGTTTCTGAATGATCCCACACAAACTCGCCCAAGGAAGAGGGGGCTGGACGATGACAGCCAGACGATGGACAACTTCTGGCCATCGCTGCTGGAAACCTGGCGGAGACTTGCGCTCCCGAACATAATCTACCCTAACCGTTGGGAGGAAGTCTAGCGACAACCCCTCTTTGGAAACCGATGGGTGACAAACTTGAATGACTGTATTATGACAAACTCATCTTTGCCTTGAAAAAACTGGGTTAAGAGTGGGGTGCTCAGGGTTGGGGATCTTTGGGACAATGATAGAAGGGACAGGATAACAGAAGACCAAATGCGAGGAATCCTGTGGTACTGCCACCACGTAAAGGAGCTTTTGGATAACTTGATTGAAGCTATCCCGCTGGCATGGTACCGGATCCTTAAACAAGGCCCCACCTTAAAAGAGAGCGATTGGATAGCAAGTACGGAGTCCCCACCAAGGATAGGCCAGATACATATGGTCTCACCCCAAATTGTCCTTGTCGAACACTACTCCATCACTAGAGCAGACACCCTCCAAGGCAATGATAGAGATCCCTTTGAATGAAAAAAAAAAACATTTGTGTACCTAGTGAGAGTTTTAGAAGAGAAAGGACAGAGGGTGGTGTTCCAGCCTTTCAAACCAATCAAGGATTTGACCCTGGACCCAACAGAATGGACATGGAAACTCCCCTAGAAGAGAGGAGGCCCCTAAGTAGGTCAGATCACCCTACGCCAGCTGTCGCGAGCCTGTCGGTCAAATCAGCCTACAAAATGCTCAGACCTAAATGGCGGTTGAGAGACACAGTTAACGACCGATGAGCCAGACACCTAAATGTGGACCGCTCCCTCCTGACACCGATTAAATGGTTCAAAGACCAAAAATCTAAGCCCATGAAAATCACCTCCCTGCAGTGGCAGATTTCCCACCACTGTTTGCCAACCAATGACTGACTGACTGACCATACTTATTTAGGACAAAAAGGTCGGCTACTTCCGTGGTATCAGCGGTGCCACCGTGCCAGAACCTTTAAAATTTCCCTTTCTACAAGAAGGCAGGAATCATCGAGCAAATCTTGAAATCTTCATGCAATGCCTGATTGCCCAATTTATATGGAGATGGTGGGACCGCATATGGAGAAAGATGGAATCTGCAATCCCCTGACCCTGGTCTTGGCAAGCCATATTGGTCGGCTATTAGCTACTGGCAGGAGCAACCACGAACTTTGTAGAGAATATTTACAGACTTGGAAGGAGGGCGGTGATATGGGAACTTTGGTGGCAGAGATCTATGTGACACCCGCGGCCTAGGCTGCGGGCAATTCGGACGCTGCGGCTGAAAAAGTCGGCCGCGGCCGCGGCCGATGAGGTCCAGTCCGCGACCTGTTTTTTCAATATTTTTTTTTACCACTAAAAATACGTAAACAAAAAATAAAAAAATATAGGGGTGTAGGGCTTGGAAAACCCTTCAATCCTATGTTTTTTTTTTTGGAATCCGGCTTGGTTTAAGATTTAAAAAAAAATGAAATATAAAATTCGATTTAAAAATATATATATAAAAAAAAGAAGAAAAGAATAATTTTCTTTTTGGCATTTTTTATCATGAGGGATATGGTCCTTGAGTTGTGCTGTATTTTTTTAAGAAATGATTTTCGGTTTTTCGTAGGGGAGTTAGGTGTTTAAAAAAAATGAAGATGCAAAAACTTAAAACAGATAAAATATATATATATGTGTGTGTGTGTGTGTGTGTGTGTGTGTGTGTGTGTGTGTGTGTGTGTGTGTGTGTGTGTGTGTGTGTGTGTGTGTGTGTGTG